TTCACATAGTCTCAAGTACCTCTTTCTACAAATTACTGTCAAAAAAGTGAACATCTTTATGGTGGAGAAGGCTGGAGCAACCATCTTCACTAAGTGGTCAATATTAATTGGAATGTATAAACTAAAGTCATGCTGCTGATAGCACGCAATGAGAAAAACAATCTTTTCTGTAATATTCCTAATTGAGAAAGATCATAGAAAATAATTTGGCCTATAATCTTAAACAATGTTAAAATCATAAGAGTTATTTTTAAAAACTGAGGAACTATTCCCAACTGAAAGGTCAGAGGTTCAAACCTACAAACTAGTGAGCGACACCAAGGGAGAGAGATGTGGCTCAATAAAGATTTCCGTCTTAGAAGTCCTATGGTGCCTTTCTGCTCTTAAAGAGTTAGTTTGAGTGAAATTCAGTACGAAGGCAACAGGTTTACAGAGAGACAAGACCAGAATATGATGCATGAGTCCACAATGGAGACTTTCATATGAAGAACTTCCTTGGGCATATGGCAAAACCCAAGTCTGAGGACTAGGTGGTAGTAATAGCTCAATGTTAACTTCCCAATGTTGATGACTATTGAGAACATTCTTGACTGCAAGGAAGCATTCTAAAATATCTTTGGTAGCACTGACAGTAAGCACTGGACTGCGAGCTCTAAGATTGGCTGTTCAAACCCATCAAGTGCTCCATGGGAGAAAGATGAGGTGATCTTCAAACATAAAGATTTATGGACCCAGAAATCCTATATAGCAGTGGTTCTCAACCTTCCTAATGCTGTGACCCTTTCATACAGTTCCTCATGTGGTGGTGACCACGCCCCCAAACCATAAAATTATTTTCGTTGCTACTTCATCACTGTAATTTTGCTACTGTTATGAATCGGGTGACCCCTGTGAAAGGGTCATTCGACCCCCAAAGGGGTCGCGACCCACAGGTTAATAGCCACTGCTCTCTAGGGTGGCTATGAGTAAGAATAGACTCAATGACCGTGGGTTTGCCTTTTCGTTAGCCTCTAAACTATGGCGGGGTGAGGAAGCATCGTGAATCAGAACTCTCCCAGTTCTGAGGGAAACGTTTTCTATTCTTGGAGATGGAAGTGGAGGTTATGGCTACTGTACTTAACCTAGACATAACGAATCATTTTCTTGACTCCTTTAACCCATTTATATTATTAATCTTTAACTGATATAGAACACATGACAAATCACACAGAATAAAACATCTCTCACATGTACTGTTGACTAGAGATACAAGTTACTTTTCAAATTTGAAGGTGAGAATGTATGTATGCTGGAGCTTAGAAAACTTAGAAAACCCATTATCTTTTAATCCCATTTTCCAGTAACTTTTTGATGCCTCCTTGTATGTAAGTACAAAAACCATACGCTCTCTAACATGCCACCCTAAAGCTGACATTAATACCATGGAATGCACAGAGTTCAAGGATAGTTGGAATCAGTCCTAACTGTGGACTCCTTTCTACACAGGCGACCTTTGGGGGTGGGTGTCCACTGTGCTGGCCCCAGAAGTGTTAAGGGAATGAATCCACAGGTTCCCTCTCCTGACTAATATGCCAGAGAACCAGGTGTGTAGCAGATGCTTCTGGGTAGACTACTGGCTAAAAAGAATAGCTCCTGAAGAATGGTTCTTACTGACTGCCCACCCTCTGGCCTGCCTCAATCAAAATCAAAAGTCAGTACACTTCCTCTTCAAAAATTCCAAGCCAAGAAATGCAGATTAAGAAACACACCTTCTGTTCACTTTTACAAACTGTCTCTGGATCTTTTTTTTTTTTTTTCCCTTCTATATTAGCCAGCATAGACCTGTGGCTCACAACCACTGTTCATGAAATGCTAAAGAAGACCCACACCCTCTTTTCTAAGGAAAACACTCATTCTATGTGCCTGTACCCACAGCGATGGGGAAAATGGGTGAGTGGAAGATTACCGGTAGTTCTTAAACTTTCACAAAAGAATGGTAACTTTCAAGTCCGTTAACTAGTAGCAATAAAAAGGGGTGGGGGAAGAACATTGATACACTGTTACCAACACACCAATTATCTGTATCCACTAACTACATGAAGAATTATTCCCAGGGGCTACACCAAAAGGACTTAGCATAGAGGCCCCGCTGAATGAACTGAACCCTACTTCAAAACTGCCTGCCCTCTTGGACTGTGGGTTGGGGTACTTGGATAGGAAAGGAAGCAGAGAGTGACTCCCCAGGATTGTGGAAGTGGCAGTCATTGGACCTTAGGAGGAACCCCCCCCAGTTGGGTGGTGTCTAATGGAAAAGAACCCAGGATCCCCATATATGTATTACCTCAATGCCCACCCTATAGTGGCACAGGTTGGGATCCGTTGAGCAGGGCTATCCACATGCAATGACTGACCTAGGAAGACCCCCACTGACATCAACCTTAGGGTCAACAGAGCCCAACCAAATGAGAGACAGAACAGGGTAGGACAAAAACTCGTGGGTTGTAGCTCAAGGAGGAGCTGTGCTCCATAGACTCCTCATACTGACAGTGTCGGAAGTGCTGGGTCATTGGAAAAAGTGATGATGATAATAGTGCAATTGTCTCTCCGTACATACTCGAGTATAAGTTGACCTGAATATCTGCCGAGGCACTAATTTTACCACAAAAACTGCATTAAAAATGTCCTGGAAAAAACCAGGCTTATACTCAAGTATATACAGTATACCCCAGGGAAGTGACTGACAGTGCTGTACTTCGTTTACATGGGTTTTTGTTTTCCTGCTTATAGCTTGATTTTTCTGTTTTTGTTGCGCGCGTGTGTTGGTGTGTGTGTGTGTGTGTGTGTGTGTGTGTGTGTGTGTGTGTTGTTCAGCGGATGCTTGGCTTATGGCTGCTATTGATGCAGTTGATACTATACGATTATGAATTTATTATGACCACCAAATTTCCTGCTTATTTTTTGGTGTTTTTGCTTTTTGTTGGTATGTGTGTATACTCTGTTTGGTTGATGATTGGCTTATGGCTGCTATTGATGTGAATTTATTATGACCACCAAAGTAACCCTGAGATGTGTAAACCCCATGAAAAATCAGACGGAGTCTGCAGTCTTGCTTAACTCTAGCCCCAATGCAAGAATAGTTAGTTCTGATAACATGGCCCAGCTCGATGCTCACCTTCATGGAAATGATCACTGAAGATAAGGGTGCTACAGAAAGTGTGGTGTAGAAATTAATGGTGCCCAGCTATCAATCGGAATAGTGCCTGGGGTCTTAAAGGCTTGTATTCAAACAAGTAGCCATCTAAGTGAGGAGTCAACTAAGTGCACATGGAAGAAGCACACCAGCTCGTGTGATCCAAAGATGACAATTACAAAATTTGAATATGGTGAAGGGAAAAGTATCAGAGCGAAAAGTATGAAACCCAATTTGTAGAAGACTATGGAGGACAATGGGAGTCCCAAAACCACCTGGCAGAGTGTCTAGTTAGACTGAGCCACTGGCAGTTCCTCAAGGGTCCTGAACAGCCTTACTGTCAGGCAGACACCACTGTAATCTGGAATATGCTGAATTCAACTCTATTCTTGGCCAGACCACTTCCCTATAGACCCAACCTGAATTGGTGCTGAATGCAAGTATCTCTTACTTGTTCCAAACCAGAAATTTCTTCCCTGGCTTTCGGAATGTTGATGAGAGTGTTTTCTTTCTCACTCATTATTTGTATTTTGGTCTTTATATTATTATTATTTTATCCTTACCAACTATTTTGATTTTGGTTTTTATTGTTTATGTTGGGTTCCCCAGTTTGTGGTACACATTGGATCTTGGGTGGATATACAGTGGTAATGTATGTTACAAGGGTTGACGGGATGCTGGGGTGGTACGTGGGTGACAGGGAGGAAAAGGGTATTTCAGGAGTCAAAAATAAAGGCGGGGGAGCACTAGAACTGACTGTGATTGCACAACTCATTTTAAAGGTGATTTAACCATGAAGGGGGCGGAGTCTAAAATCAGAGTAATGATGGTACAATTCTCTTTGATGTGACTGAACGACTGAACTAGGGAATTGTACGACATGTACATTATGTGCCAATCAAACTATTGGGGGGAAAAAGAATTATTAAGATACAATAGAATCAGATCTTTAATCTTTTATAGCTAAAAACTAGCAACCTGCTTCTAAAAGATTATGACCTGGAAACCATGGAAATGGTAGCTCCCCTTCTGCATATATGGGGTCAACCATGAGTTGGAATCAACTAGAAGGCAACTAATAAAATCCTCTGTCTGAATCCTCTGGTTCTTCCTCAATACTCCTCACCCAACATGCTTGCACCTCAGGAGTGAAAACGTAACGTAAGTTCTTGGTCTCTACAAACCACCAATACAAGAACATGGTACTTGAATGGGTCCTATATCTCCCATGAACTCATAGCTGAACACATAATAAACTATGCCACACTCGGCCATGACCCATAGAATGTCTCAGCCGTGGAGCACAATCCCAGGAAAAAAATCTGTCTCTATAAACAAATGTGCCCGCTTTCTTTCCACAGACAATGGACATGTGTAATTCAATCTGACACAGAAAATGGAACATTTCCCATAAGCCTGAGCAGTCAGAAAACAAATCCAAACCCAGTGCACAAGTTAACTAGCTCCTCTCAAGAACCTGGTACCTTCTACTCTGTGTTCTTCTTAAATAGTTTATTATATTTATCCTTAGTTGCCTTGTTTGATATAATTTTGAATTCTATCAGTAGCTTTAAACCTCAGAAAGTATCTAGGGTGTACATGCAAGACACGTATGTAATTTTTCTCTTACATTTTTCTACCTTTTGCCTCTTCCTCTTACACATTTTCTGGCATCTGCATTAACTGACCACAAGATCTTAAGGGACTCTGGTACAAGAAGGTGGCTGTAGTGCAGACCAACCATTGGCAGCCTTGAGTCCCCAGCAATCACAGGGAGCCCAGGGGGGAGGCAGAGGGCAGACGAGCTGCACACCGTGGTCCAGTCTCTCACCTTTGCAGTAGTCAGCAGGGTCCTCTTGCTCTTCATCGTCTGACCCCAGGATCTCCTCCTCGGGCTCTGGGGGCGTGGGGTCTGGCAGAGGTGGTGGCGGTGGCGGCGGCGGCGGCGGTGGAACTAAGGGAGCTTTCTGCTGAGGCTCTGGCCTGAAACAGTGCAGTGAAAACTCCAATTAGATGTCAACCTTAAATGATTATGGACACACTTGAGAGTTTCTGGATATGGGAGAAAATAAAACTTGTCACACTTTACATTTCCCCCATTTCCCAGGGAATATATTTGTGGACAACTTTTCGCTCAGAGTTTCAGCACTTAAGTCTTGCCAATGTTATAAAATGTGAGAGAAAAGAAGGGCAGGCTCATGATGTACAGCCTTACTATTTTGAAAATATCCCACAAAACTTGCAAAAGGCAGCCCTCAAATTATAAAGGTCAACAAACAGACCTGGAGCTATTTATAGGCTTTCCTTTTGTTTGTCTTTGGTTTTGCTGTTGTTTGCTTTTGTTGTTTTGTTCTCTCTTGTTTGTGTGCTTATTGTTGTCTCTGCATTTCTATCTACATAATAAAGGTGGGATAAACAATCCAGAGGAGAAAACAACAGGACCAAAGGTTGGAGGGTGGGCAGGAGAAGGGGAGGCAGAGGAAAAGGAAGGAGGTGTCAACAAACCAGGGATAAGGGAACAAGTGATCTGAAATCAATGGTGAGGAGGGTGGGGGTGGGGGTGGGTCTTGATCAAGGGCAATGTAGCCCAGAGGAATTACTGAAACCCTAATAAAGGCTGAACATGATAGTGGGACAAGAGAGGAAAGTAAAAGGAAAGAACTAAGAGGCAAAGGACATTTATAGTGGTCTAAATACAGGCATGTACATATGTAAATATATTTATATATAATGATAGGGAAATAGAGCTATGTACATACATTTATATGTTAAGTATCAAGGCAGAAGACAGACATTGGGTCTCAACTCAAGCACTCCCTCAACACAAAAACACTTTGTTCTAATAACCTGGCATTCTGTGATACTCACCTTCCCAACACAATTGCTGAAGACAAAATGGGTGTATAAGCAAATGCGAAAAAAGCTAATGGTGCCTGGCTATCAAAAGATATAGCATCTGAGGTCTTAAAGGCTTGAAGATTAAACAAGCGGCCATCCAGCTGAGAAGCAACAAAGCCCACATGGAAGATGCACACAGAACAAAATATCATATCAATATTATCGAGGGGGAGTGCGGAGTGGAGACCCAAAGGCCATCTGTAGACCATTGGACAACCCCTTACAGAGGAGTTGCAAGGAAGAGATGAGCCAGTCAGGATGCAGTATAGAACCAATGAAACATACAACTTTCCTCTAGTTCTTTAATGATTCTCCCCCCACCGACCCCAAATATCATGATCCCAGTTTTACCTTACATATCTGGCTAGACCAGAGCATGTACACTGGTACAGATAAGCGCTGAAAACACAGGGAATCCAGGACAGATAAACCCCTCAGGACCAATAATGAGAGTAGTGAGAGTACGGGAAGGTGAAGACAGGGGTGGAAAAGGGGAACTGATCACAATGATCTGCATATAACCCTACATCTAACTACAGACAACAGAAAAGTCCGTGAAGGGAGAAAGTGGTCAGTGTAAGACATGAGAAAAAAATAGTAATTTTAAAATTATCAAGGGTTAATGAAGGGGCGGGATGGTGGGGTGTGGTGGTGGAGAGAAGAGCTGATACCAAGGGTTCAAGTAGAAAGAAATGTTTTGAAAATGATAATGGCAACATTTCTACAAATGTGCTTGACACGGATGGATGGATGGATTGTGGTAAGATCTGTAAGAGTCTATCACAAAGGTGACACTGCCAAAAACAGAAGCAAAAAGCACCTTTTATCTAGCATAGGTTCCAAAACTTACTTTACCTAGGGTCCTTTTTTTTTGGGGGGGGGGCGGTGCTGTTTTTTACTTAGCACCCCCTGGCAATTAAAAACTTTTGTACTATAGTCCATAATTCAAGCTGAAGTGTAGGTATCTATTTTTGCAGTCCCCACCTCCCCCACTGCTCCACCACACACATAACCATCCTCACGGGAAATGCTGCATATAAGGGTCACTATGAGTTTGGAAGTGACTCGATGGCAGTGATTAATAAGGTGATTTGGTAGGTGATGTAGTTGCCCTCCATTTTGTGGTCTGGGGTGGCCATCATCCACCATTTCCACAAAATAACCTGGGCTTTGAAATCTAGCCTTACCATTGAGTGGGGACTGGGTATGGGAGGATATGCAATTAGAAAAATAAAAGCGTTTAATGGCATAAAACTCATCATGCATACTTCACATATCTAAAACACCTCACAACTAGTAAATTTGCTTAAAGCATTTGTAGTAGGGTTCTATAAAATCAACAGTTCACCTATAGTAAGACTTAATTCTAGTTCTTACCAGAGCCCAGTGGTTTTGAACTTAAGAACCTAAGAAGTTTAAACCTTAATATTTTTACCTAACACGTGAGACATCTCTGTCCTGTAGAGGCTCTGACAGAGGCTCACCCCTGCCCTCCTGGACCTGCTCACAGTGGTTTGGGTGAAGGGTAGGAAGGGATCTGATGTTGATGGGCAAGGGCAAGGGGATTTAGTGATGTCAGTGTTCCCACGGGCAACTTCAGTTGGGTGAGGGCAGGGTCTCTAGTTTGGGGAACTAAGTGGGCCTACCTGGGATCCATGCCACCTTCCTAATAGCACCTGGGATTCCTTTTGGGGCACTGCTCCCGTCTCCATTATAGAATGCAGATCCTATCCCTCGTCACCCCGGTACAGCCTGGGGCCCTGGAACCCTGGAACCCTGAGAAGGTTAAATATCACTGGAGTGCACACTCATCATGACTTTCTTCAGAGACAGGCCCAGGTGAACCATGACTCTTCTCTATGTCACACTTCTACATTTCTGTCAACTCCGAGAGCCCTTCTACTGCTTTCCAATATATCACCACACAGCTCCTTTGTGCGTCTTGCCATTAAAAATCCAAACTGCCACTCTGAAAGAAAGGGGCAAGGGTTAGAGACTGCAGAAAATACCAGAGGTCCGGAGGAAGGGATGGTGATCACACACAGCAGGTGCATTAGGGCAAATGCTAGCAATTAGGACTGCCTTTGGCAGGACAACTAAAGAATGTTTGAAAGCTGGAAATGACTTTGATTGGTTTCTACTTGGCAGAATTTATGAAGACTCAAAGCTACAGCTTCCCTGGGTGAAAGACATTAGAAGCGTGGTGGTGATAAAATTCTGAGTAACCTTTTCTCATGGTGGAAGACTGAAGGGAATAATCGCAACCAAACACCCACATCATTTCCCAAATACATCCAAAAATTCTGACAGACCTTATGGTACTGCAGTAATCATTTCTAGCTTTCTGGCAGCAATACAAATGCTTTTTTTTTTTTAAACAGACTTGTCCTTAGTGAAAGCAGAATGAGCCCAGACCAAAGGGCTAGAAATTACTGAAGAAGGGGAGGAAGGTGTCGAAGGGATCTGGTATCAGGCATCAAAGAACAAAAAACCGTATCATTGAGAATGAGGGACAGTGTGAAGTGAGGACCCAAAGCCCATCTGTAGACAACTGGACATCCCCTTACAGAAGGGTCTCGGCTAATAGACGAGCCAGTCAGAGCGCAGTGTATCAATGATGAAACATACAGCTCTCCTCTGGTTCTTAAATGCTTCCTCCCCCCACTATCATGATCCCAATTGTACCTTACAAATTCAGCTAGATCAGAGGATGTACAGTGGTACAGATGTGAGCTGGAAACACAGGGGATACAGGGCAGATGAACCCCTTAAGACCAGTGGTGTGAGTGGAGGGAAGGTTGGGTAGAAAGGATGTCACAGCACCATCCTAGCAATTATTCTGACAATTAAAATCTTTGTACTACAATATAGCCCATAGCCCAGTATACAAAGCATAGCTATCTGATTGTGCAGCCCACCCGATCTTTTCAGTGCCTCCTTAGGGGGCAGTATCACACACTGGGAAATAATGCACTAGAGGCTATATAGGAAACTCTACGTACTTTGAACTCTTTGTTGGGAGTTAGGTGAAGGTTTACAGAACAGATCAGTTCTACACCCAAAAATTCATACATATTTTATTTCATCTACTACAATCCCCTCAATGTATATTACCACTTACCTCACTTTTCCTCCCTGTTTCCTGTTTCTATCCTTCTTCTATCTTACTCTCTATACTTTGTCTTTTGGTAGAATGCTGCCCTTTGATCTTAGATGGTAGCTTATTCTACCCTGTGAGGGGTGAGTTTAGTTCCAGACCTGAAGGGTACCCAAGGGCCACAGTCTTGGGGATTCCACCAGTCTCTATGCAACCACTTAGCCTAGTCTTTTATGATTTTGAACTTGGGGCCAAATTTTTCTCTCCACTCTATCTTGGACCTTCTAATGCGATCCTTTTTGCAGCATCTACTTCAGCGGTTCTCAACTGCTGTAGGTTGCTTAAGACCATCACAAAACACCTATTTGCAATGGTCTTAGGAACCGAGACACTGCTCCTCCAACCACATCGCAGATACGCCCACATACGAGTACCCGGCATGAAGACTGTTACCCATGCTACACCATGCTTCAAGACAAAATTTCATTTATTTATCATTAGAAATAAATAGTTCACAATATATAATCACATATTGCTTTTGTGATTCATCACTATGCTTTAATTATGTTCAATTTGTAACAATGAAAATAAATCCTGCATATCAGATATTTACGTGACGATTCATAGCAGTAGCAAAATTCATATAGTTATGAAGTAGCAATGAAAATTTCATGGTTGGGGGTCACCACGACACGAGGAACTGTATGAAAGGCCATGGACCACTCTCTAGTTCTGGCTCCAGGTTGTAGAGACTGAGATCTGTGTGACGCACTAGCCCATTGGACCGTCTCCCTCTGTCTTCTGACGTTTAACATTCTTCCTTCTTCCCAACAGGGGGAAACCAAGAGTTGAGGAATTCTGTGCTTTTGCTGAAGTTTTCTCTAAACCTTAAACTCCTCTAACATAATGTTTTGTTTTGTTTTTAAGTTACTGAAAAATGGAGGTACTATTTCTTGCCAATGCCTCCATCTACATCTGTAAATTTTTG